TTATAAAAAATCATATTATTAAACCAAATATAAATTATTTCGTTATTGTACATAAATTAAATTATAAATAAAATTAAATTAAAAATTACACAAAAAATGAGGAATTTCAAATAGTTAATTTGATATTAATATCGATATATTTTTGTCAAATTTTTATGATATCTTCAAACATATATTTTATTCAAAAATAAGAACATCATCGCTTTCTCAAAATCACATACAGCCATATTATATCATCGACTGAGATAAAGAATAAAATAAAATATTAAAATCACGATGTATCTCGTTGCATTGCGCGAGTACGCTTCTAGTGTTAATTAATACAAACAAGATAGTAAAAAAAATTAAATGATTTAATAGGTTAATTAAAATAATTTTATATTAACTAATTATTTTTAAATAATCATTACATATAATATGAATAAAAATAAAATTGGTCAAAGTCGCATATCTTAATTAATTAATAAATTTTAAAAAAATTCAATATTTTATTAGACTCAATCATCGTTTTATTACCTATGAAACAAAATAAGTATAGTTTAAATTTTAGTGTAACTTACATAAACATTTTTAGTGTTCTTATATTTGTTTTTTGATAACTAAATATATTGAATACTAGTATAAAATTAATTGATATGATTAATAATAATTCAAAATATTTAGTATTAATGTGTAATTAAACTTAATTAATAATTTTGGATTAAATTTTATTAATACTTATAGTTAGTTGCCCCACCTCCTAATAAATTTTGCCTTCCTCTGCTGTCCCGGAAGAGTGTTTGATTGATACAAGTTTTTTTTTCTTATCTAAGAGATATTCCATTTAATAATTAATATTTAATAATAAATATTTTTTATTGATATTTATTAATAACTAATATTGTATTTATAATTAATAGTAATCAATAATCGGAATTATAATTGAATTGAAACAGTGTTAAAAAAAACTCCAAAAACATTGTTCAAAATAGTATCTCAATAAGTTAGCTTAGAATATCTTCAATAGATTCTCCAAAATGAAGATTTTGAGATTTTTGCTTCAACATTCCCCAAAATCTTCTTCAAAATAAAATATAAAAAAAAGTAAAAGAGATATGTGAAATTTTCCAAAAATGATTATCTATGAAAGTGAAATTATTCCTTATTCTTCTTATCAAATGAGAACCTTTCAAATTAAATGTATAAAAGGGAGATAATATTTTATGACATTTATTGATTGTAATTTCTAAAATCGAGAAGCTATTAGAGATGAATATAAACTTTATTCGAAGATTTTGACTTTTTATTCTTCATTTTAAAGAATTTTATTTATTAGAGCAGATTGTTCAAAATAAAGAATCAAAAGTCAAATTCTCTAAAAAAAAAAAGTTATATTCATGTCCAACAGATTCTCTATTATGGAGATTGCACAATTAATTATAATACTAAAATATTTAATATAACTCATAAAATATTATTTCTCAATCTCTTGAACATTTAAATTCAAGCAATCTCATTATTAAATGATATGCATTTAAAATGTATATTAGTAAAAACGACATATTTCTCTTTCTTTCTCCCCTCTTTAGAATATGAAAAATTATTTTTAAAAAATAACAAAAAAAGGATTTTACATCTACAAAGATATTTATTTTTTGCAATTAGTTTGTTCTACAAATTATATAACAGCTTCAACCATGATTAATTTATAATATAATTAATAGAAGAAAAAATAAATATTGATTTCAACACTTTTGATTTTGAAATATGTACCAAAATAACTTAGCAAAACTCCAATCGAATCGTAAAATGTTACAAAATCATCTTAACAAAAACCATCATACATTGAATATATAACGATGTTATACATATGAATTAGAGAATAACAGAGCAAACTATGTTTTTCATCCCTTATGTTAATAGAAGATTGCTATTTCCATTCATGTGCTTTTGAAATTATGGTTTTCGTCTATGTGATTTACAATTTATTGTTTTTTCCGTCTATATGATTTACAACTTATTATATTTTTACTCCCTCATGCTTAATTTTAATGATATGCTTCAGAAACATGAACAATTAAACAACAATGAATTACAAACTACAAAAACAAAAACCGTATTTTATGTACAAAAACAAAAATCACAACTCTAAATAAACCACAAAGAGGAAACTCGCAACTCTAAACAAACCACCAAGATGAAAATCATAGTTTGCTGAAATCAGAAATTAGTCTTGAATAGGCATGGAATGAGACCAACCCCATTGGAGAAAACCCGTTGCACCCACCTCAACCAGGGTTAGAGATTCCCATCACAAAATCGAAAACCAAGGATGGAAACAAGGATTCTCAAAAGTCAAAAATCAAGGATAAGACAAGACCAAATAACATGATACCCAACCCAACCCAACCCAACCCATCCCCATATATTAAATATATTGTATATTTATTAATAAATATATTATATATAAATAACTAGATTTATTATCTTTTAGATTTAAAGAATATATATTTAAACTTTTTTTCTTACATACATTTTTCTTAACTTGTCTTACTTTCTTTAGATAAAAACATGGAAAACCAAAAACATTAGATCAAACAATTATATATGATGTTATGATTTTGTTCATATATCAATATTTGATACTTCATAAAATCAAAACTTTAGAAATACATTAGATTAAAACATGGACTATTTTGGATCGAATGTTATATTTAACACATTTGATTTAAAATATAAATATCTTTACATAAATAAATAAAAAGCCTAATTCCCCATTGGAGATCCCTGAGGATGGGATGTGATTGTATTCAGCAGCAGGGACGGGAATTGGGGTTTCATCCCCAAATTGGTTTTTCCAAGTATATATCCAATCATATTGCCAAATCCAGTTTGAATTTGTGGTCTTTTAGACCAATTACATTATATACCGACATAACTTGTATCAAACCAAGTTGTTTTTGGACTACTCACTTACATTCTATATATGTGGAGGAAATTAAAGAATCAATTTCAACTTTGAAGTTTTGCTGCTACTGTGTTCCATGCACCATTGCCAAACTCACTGAAACTTTGTAGCACAAATGACAATAATAATCTGTAACAAGAGACAACAATCTTTAGTTGCAAATATTGCAGCATAGATTAGAAATGAATTCAAAGGACTGCTTTTTAACTTCTAACTCTAAAAATATGTGAAACCCCATATGCTTACTCATCAAAAGAGCCCTTTGGGAGAGAAGAGAAGTTCCAATATATATGAATGTAAAATGGTCTAATTTTAGCAAATTTGAGATTTTAACACCCCCCTCCAATGGAAGCTAGCCGGGCATAGATTTTTCCCGAGTGTTGAGAGAGGACTAAACGAGTAAAGATTGTCCATGTAAGAATGTGGAATCCCAGATCACTCTCCAAAAAGCCCTTGAAAAGAAGTTCCAACATAAATGGATGTAAAGTGGTCCAACTCTAGCAGATGTGAGACTCTAACACTAACCTTTACACCGATGACTGAACTTCAAAAGGGTTCATTGAATGAAACGGTATTCATCACCAGATGAAAGAATTTGATGACTACAGATGGTCGAAATTTACTGAAGACAGTTGCGAAAGAAACGGATGCCCTGAGACAAAGGTAAATAAAGCGATTGTTATATTGGAGATGAATAGCATACATATATAGACTGCGATATTGAATAACAAAAAAGAGCAACCAACAAAGCATGCCAAGTGGTTAGATTTTACTCATAGATGACTAGAGGTCTTGACTAGCCTGATTGATTACCAATGGGCAAGTGGCAAAAGTTCAACATCCTTCACTATAACAAAATTGGCTTTATAGAACGTCATATATGTCTAAATGTCCTAATAGACTGCTTTATAGAACTTAAGTTTATAGAACCAAACAACTGTACATCCTATATAGAAGTGTTGCAGTAAGTTGATGCGAAGTTTTTGACCGTCCTAACATGTTTTTTCAAGAAGTGCTCTATGAACAAATAACGTAATATAAAAATAATAATACCATTTCAAAAAGGTCATGAGAAACTTGTTAGAACAGCCCAAAAAAGCATCCTATCAACTTATAGAACACATAATTGTTAGACATATTTGACGTCCTATAAAACCTATTTCGTTACCTATTTACGTAATGTTTTGGCACATCTTCAAAATTAATAAAAACAAGCACATTAAGGAAGGTAAAAGTTGGTATTTGTACCTGCAATGCAAAAATGATGTCTGCTTCATCTACCTGCAAAGTCAGTCTCCTTAATTTATCATCTCGAGATTGACCGAGTTTGAGGATTCCCTGAAGAATAACAGCAATTTATAGTGATTTCCCATGAGAAAGTTGTTGTATTTGATAGATAGGGATTCAACTGATAGGTGCTGCTGGTGTTACCTGATCATCTAGCACTCTACACATGCATGAAAGTTCCATTATTCCAACAGGTGGTATCAATGTTGACTTGCAGACATCAATATAAGATTTGTTTAACTGCATCAATAACAAGTTTCTATTAGAAAGTTGGGTTAATATAAATTTCATAAGTTGTTTTTGTTGTGAAAGATGATATAATTATACCTCTTTGATTGTTGTGTCCTTCTTTCCCCTCCAAAAAAGCTTCACAGCAGAACATAATACAATCTATAACAAAAGAGAGACTAGGAAATTAGTTTAATTCAAAAAAAGGGTATAAAATTAGACATCAATACATACTGAGGGAATAATCATTCTACCCCCTCCGTACCAAAACAAGTGTTTGCTTTCAAAAGTAAGTGTCTACTTTTCAGTTTTATCCTTAATTATGAGATGGTGAAGGTCTATAGACCCTCTATTATTAAGGGCAAAATGGTCATTTAGTTATTTAGAATGTAACAATTACACATTTCTAATATTGCGGGTCTTTTTCATGGTGGACATTCATTCTAAAACGGAAGGAGTAACCGGATGACTTTGATTTTGATGGTAGAACAATGATACCTGTTGATGCTGGGGAAGGGACTGTATAGTGTCAACTATTGGTGATTTGTAAGCCCTTGACAAAGCAATAGCCATATGATCAACCCTCACCTGCAACAAATTCAAGTAAATACCAACAATAAGATAATGGCTTATTCCCCGACCATTATATCAGCAAGATCAGAAAAACCAATTTCAGAAGTGAAACTCATTTACAAAGATAATGACTGATTCCACAAAGGTTATACTAACCAAATTCAAATGTAAAACTTATATTTACTGGATCATTGACTGATTATTTTCAAAAAACCACAATTACACTAAAAGAGAATCAGAACAATATCATGTGGTAACTATTACATATATCTTGCACACAACCAGGTTTGCATTCACGAAATTTGTTCTCTTAATCTGTTAGAAACTAGTAAGAAGATATCTGATGAAAAATTTTACCATTGATGAAAGATTTGAAGTGCATGCAGATTCTCTAAGCTCAGTTTCTAGCATCTCAATTGCACCCCTGGAAACCAAGAAAAAAGCTCGAGGTTAATCTCTGCAACCTTCCAATATTTCCTGTAACTAAAAAGGTAAATTGTAAAACAACAGCCTTTTCACCAGATAAATCTTTCATTGACATGCAACATTCCAATATATCCATTATCTAAAGGAAGCTCAAAACAATTAAAGAACTAGATAACATGCCAACCTGCAAATACCAAGAGCTTTCCTCATATCTCCAGATGCTGCAGCTACTTTCTGCCAATATTCGAATTGTATGAGTCTTGTAATTGAGGACAACATCAACTTGCTACTATTTTAAATGACATGTGAATAAAATCGACAACACCGAAGCCTTACAGCAAATCAAACATTAACTAGGAATCAATGTTTCAGCTGTGATTGTGTATAGAAGTGCAGCTGTGCAGAAAACAGCTATGACAAAGCAAAGATAAGTAGATAATATTCTGATGTACTCACTCGTGCACAGAGTTCCAGTGCTTGTGGCTGGAAGACAGTGTAAGAAAGTGCCTGATGGAGCAAAACATTCATAATATAAATATTTTGCAGAAAGTGGGTAAATATAAACAAAAGATGCAGTAAAGGCAATGAACTCATTAGCATTGCTAATTTCCAGACGCATTTAAATCACCCAGCTGCAGCTAGCCAAATAAGTAGCTAACCAGCTATATGAATGGGTGAAACCTGCTATATCAGTAGCATTGAATCTTGAGCTCTTGACTTGCAATTTATGATGCCAAATGTTTAGAAGTTCTGCCAACTTAGTCGGGACATCAATATGTCAAAGTTCAATCATTACCTTTTCCATAGAAATTTGTCAAGCATTTAACAAAGAAAAAATGTCGTTTTTTAAGTTCAATATATATGTTAGGAAAGCTGGTAGCAGATATATAAAGGACATCATAATTGTGGTCCAAAAACCATGGAGGGTGGTTGACCATTTTGATTTTAATACTTGTTTACCCCTCCCTTGGTTGGCATGTGATGAATGTGGTATGGGGGCACATCTTTCTAATATCATTTCCTGAATGATAAAGAGAACGAGAAATAATACTTACCATCAATCGTTGTTTGAGAATGATGATGATATGATCCATGGAGTAGGCTCGGAAAGATACAACCATAGGCTTACCTATCATAAGACACAAAGAAATCAGACATTATTAATTTAGTATAATATCAAAATAACAGAGCATATCCATTATATTTCCTTCCTATACAAGGATTGAGAGAACACTTAAAAAACAGATATGTGTGAGAATATTATGGTTTCCATAATCGCCTGTCTAAAAAATAATGGACAACAAACAGAAGATTCAACACTGGCAATCAGGTAAGAAAGCAAAAAGAGAATCAACGGGTGAGCAATCATACCAAGTAATAGATTGTTTCCCCATGTTAAAAGAGATGAAAGAAGCATGCATGTAGAGTATGGACAGTTGCAAACAAGTACTCACAATTTAGAGACTGTAGTTTTGGAAGAAAGCGGTCTGCTAAGTCAATTGCATTAGCTATACCTGTAAAAGAAGATGCAATATGAGGAACTCATACAAATCCACAATAGATCAAGTTCGAACACACTGTTAATGTCATACCTATCAATATAACTTTTGAGAAGGGCAATGTTGTTAGCATAAATAGATCATGAAGCACCACCCGGTCCTTAGTAGTCAAATAATCCAGTTCATCCGCAATAACCAACCTGCTAACAGCTAACGTATTAAAAACTTCACTATGATCAACATCTGGGGTTCCAACCCTAAACCAATAAGCAACAAGTGAAATGACCTAGATCATATATATTCAACATAAGATTCATTTTCCAATGTCGTATCACTAGTCTAAACAGAAAAGATACTCAACAAATAGCAGCTACAGACTAGATGGTCAATCTGATCATCAAACAAGCCCGTGTATACAGGAATTAGTGCACCAAACAGAAAAGAAAGTGAACAAATTGCAGCTAAAGACTAGATAGTCAATCTGATCATCAAACAAGCCCATGCGTACAAGAGTTAATAGCTATGTATTCATGCGTATGTGCGCAATGGAAAAGAGACATTCATATTACATCATTTTCATGCCAGGTGTCTGCTGCTTTTGAGAACCCAATTGCTGAAGCTGTCGTAAGGATGTAGAACGACCATTAGGTTTCTTGTGTGGTTGAATCTTTCCAAGTATCTGCCAAAGGAACCAACTTTTGAGCATTACGTCGGTTACAATGGGCCTAGGCATATGAATATCAATATCATGATAAATTTTCACCTTGTTAAAAATTTCTGAGGTGCTCGAGAGGGAAGTACAGTTTATGGCCAAAATTTCTGGCAAGTGACCCCCTGTCTGAAAGCAACAACGATGGTTCCATGAGTTGTGGCTGAAAGTAAGCAGACATACTAAAGAAAAAACAATAAAGTCATGTCTCAACGAGTTGAAAATGTTCAGACAACGCAACTACCCACTATAAGATGACTGGCAAAGTTCAAGCGTAGCAATTCTACGATTTGACAAGTCTTTGTCTTAGTAATTTTAACAAGCAGTATTAGAGGATGCCAAAAGCACATAACCTTTTATGTGTGCAAGTATTATACTTTCTAAGGAAATAAACCAATTCAATCGTAAATGCCTCTTTTCTTCTTCTGTGTGCCAAAATTGGTCAACATATGTGTAAACAGTAAACTGAGCACTGGTTTAAGAGCTTGAAGAGAACCCAAATATAAAGTTGCTCTTTCTAATGTATCGGCACCATACCTACCCCTATACATTTTAGGAACCTACAGATAATATTCTTTGTAGTTTTGCAACTGCTCAAATATACAGAAAGGGTTTTTATTTCATCTCCAAAGACAATTATCAATTCAGGAACATCAAATTAGTTATATAATATTTATTTTAGGGACAAATAGAATAATTATACTGAATTTATTATTTCAGTTGGGATACTTCATGTCAACATTCTCAATTTCAAAATGAATAATCAAGCAAAACCAAATCACCTCTTTAGCCCAAACAGCCAGAGATCCCTTCACATTCTCCATTAAAAGTGATTTTCCACTCCCTGGGCAACCACAAATGTACAAGCTCCCAGCCTTCTCTTGTTCAAGGCATTGCTTGCAAAACTCCTCTATCCTTTTCTGTTCATCCTCACGGCACATGATCATAGACGGCGCTGTGGATACATGCAGCGCCTCCTTCACGGCACTTAATTGCTCCGAATCTACATAAAGAAAAATATATATCTTAGAACTGGAAAGCGGAATTTAGACTATAGGCACCCGCACGCAAATCAAGAATCGCCATAAAGTCGATTACAGATTAGATAATTTTGTTATGAAGGGAAATTAAGATAACCTGTTGGATTCCAGATCGGTTTATCGAGGAAAGCATCCAACAATTTTTTCTTTGGGGATTTCCTCATTTTCGTTAAATTATCATTGGCAACTGTTTTATCCCCCTGCAAGTGATGCTTGTTTAGACTTCATTGTAACAATATGTTATTAAGATTAACTGAATGACAGAAAATAAAGTTTGGATCTCGAAAACTCACATTTGCTCGACTTCTATGGGGACTATCTTCGACGCATCGGCGAGGAGATTTACTCTTCAAAGGAGAGCATGGCTTGGATGGAGTACTAGAAAACGGCTCATCCGATAAAGCCGAATTAGATCTCAACCTCCGTTTCTGAGGCGATGAAATTTCGCCGCCTGCGATTGACATAGGTGACGATCTGCTACCGGCGATTGATGGCATTTTCTGGCGATTAGTCGGAAGTCAATGCCGAAATATAGCTGATATTTGGTAGCGATTTGAGGATGGAAATGGAGCGGATGCAGAAATATAGGGATTGGAAGAACTGGTTTTAGCGGGAAACGCCATATCCAGTGGTTAAGTGAAATTTTCCCACCATTTTGATTGCAAATAAAGAAAAGAGTAAATTACCGATTAGGTCCATTAGTTTAAAGTTTATCTTGGGTTTAGTCCTTGAAGTTTTTGTATTTCAAAATTGCCCTTAAAGTTTGCATTTTCGTAACATTTTGATTCCTATCACCAACTGCAGTTAAAAAGCCCCATTAATTTATGGACATTTTGGTCTTTTGCCAATCGTTTTTTTTTATTTTTTCATTTAGTAAATTTAATAATATATTACCCCTGCCCCTACCCTCTTCCTAGCCTCGTCCTGATATATTATAGGCCCTAAGCAACATATAAAAAATAGACCCTCGATAAGTACAAATAAAAAAAATTCAATTTATTGTTTTTATAGTAAAAAATAACATTAAATTCAAAAATACTAATGATTCATATAAAACCAATTTTTTTCGAGTATTCTTAGATGTAAAATCAATCAATAATTACTTTTAAATTAATTTTATCTATCATATCATTTTTATATATAATCATAAATTCGTTCCATAACCAAACATGTTATATGATATACTTTAATATATAGATTAACAACATTTGAGATCACAATATTGAATATTCAAAATAGCACTTTATGTAAATCAATTGTGTTTTCATGTTACATCATGTTAATGTTTTCATGACAAATTTAAACTTTTTAGGATTAAAACAAACCTTTTACAAACCATCAATCTTATAATCAAAGTCTATTTTGGTTATAATGTGAGCTCTTATTCTTATTTTAAATATATGAGAGTACTTAAAATTTAAGCAATCAATATATAGGTAATAAGAAGTCAATAATATATGAAATAACAAGAGTAGTTCTGAAATAATAAATATAAATATAAGTTGGATTATCTCTTATGATAGATAATTTTTTTCAAAAGGAAACACTTTTCTTAATTAATAACAAAAACCTACTATATTCAAATACAAAGATAGAATTCATGTGAAAGAAATAATCAACAAAGTTGGTAGGAGATTAAGGATGAGAATATCTCAATGTTTTTTAGGCAAGGTGATTTTAGATCTTAATAGTAGATATATTTTTACGGAAAACAATAAGGAATACTATAATATTTAGATTTTAATGAAATTGTACTTTTGATTTTACTTATTACAATAATATACTTTCAAGTTGTTTTCTATTAAGTTATCGTACTTCCATTTTTCTTTATTATAGCAATATACATCCAATTTGTTTTTTAATAAAAGTATTATCATTTTCCTAATTATAGCAATATACTTTCAAATGGTTTTTTATTTATATATGTTATTTTGAAAATTTTATCTATTATATCAATCAGTAACTTTTTTATTTGAATTAAGATAACATAAGTTACCAAGTTTTTTTTGTCGTGTCATTGTTCACGTGAAACGTGGATAACATGTCATTCTGATTGCGTGACATAGATAAAAAAACGATCATTTTTTTTAATAATTTCTTCATTTCCCTCCCGATTATTCATATAGGTGAGATATGAATAATCGGGAGGGAATGTGATGAAATTATTTTAAAAATTAAATTATTCACTAATAAAACAATGTTTAGAAAATTTGTAAAACACATTTTACATCGCTAACATTTAAAAAAAAATTAACAAGTATGTGTTTTTTGAAAAAAATAATAATCATATTTGTTTAAAAAAAAGTTACACTAAAATATTTAATTTCCATACAATTTAATGTGAGTAAAAATTTAGAATTTTTTTTTCAAAAGGGACATAAAACATAATCAATGTGGGATATGAATAATCAAGGGAAAGTGAGGAAATTATTCAAAAAAAATATTGAAAGTTTTTATTTATTTACATCACGTAATTAAAATGGTGTGTCATTAATGTTTGACAACTTGTATCATGTTATCTTAATTTAAATCAAAATGTTGTCAACTGTTATGATGGATAAATTTTTCAAAAAACAATGTTTTCATAAAAACATTTTAAAAGTATATTGTCATAATAATAATAATAAAATTGGAAGTACAATGCCTAAATAGAAAAGAACATGTTGAAAACATGTTACTGCAATTAAAAAAATGAAAATATAATGTCATAATAAAAACGACTTGAAATGATATGATGTAATTAGAAAAAATGAAAATATACTGTCATAATAAGAAAATTTGTAAAATTAAGTTGATAAATACAATATAATATCTATAAACCTAATAAATAAGTAATTTGGTTGCCACGTGTCGTCTTATTGTGCGACGGTTATAAGGATTTCCCGCTTAAGCATGTATGTAGACACAATTTACATTACTAGTTCAAATGGGCCTATTTAATTAACATTTGTCCCTGTAAACATAACTGATTTTCGTATGAAAAGGGATTTCTTTTCAAATACTTAAATAAACAAAAATCTGGATTTTAATTCCTCAGACTTATAAGTCTGATATCTACAGACTTTTTCAGCAAAAACCTTACCACTAGGAGTCCCTATGTTTAGAAGAAAAATGCTATTCACTGAAGCAGCAACAGGTATGAACACCTTTTCCACAGTTAAAATTCAGAGTTGTCTACCAAACTTATAAGACATATCATTATAAAAGTCTGAGGACAAGTATGAACACCTTTTCCTCAGTTAAAATTCAAAGTTGTCTTCCAGACTTGTAAGTCTGGGAAAATTAGAGTTATAAGTCTGAATTCAACTCTTAAGTGGCCTCCAGACTTACAACATAACTCTGGGAATATTCAAAGTTATAAGTCTGAATTTAACTCTGAAGTAGTCATCAAAATCGGGTTTAAAATTTTAAATTCGGATTTTTGAAACATTTTTCACAAAGCAATACTACCCGGGGGAAAATTTTCCAAGCTGACCTCGACCCCAGCCAGGGGCTGCCGCCCACTCCCAATATTTGAGATCTTTCTCTTTGAATAAGATCTCAATTCCAGCGACGGTTTCATTAGATAAGAATTGTTTTGGATCCAATCCATAGGAATCAATAGAAAAGGCAAATCTCCTTGGATCCCGCCACCGGGGGCGCTGCCCCCAGACCCCCGTCGTTTAGGGGTTTCGCCCCTAAATCAAAATAAACTCAAACAAATGTGCACTCCACACCTTCCTTACTTATTCGATACTTATCATGATTACATGAGTCAACAAATTAATCTAATTACACTTAATTGACATTAGTGATACAACTCACCAAACATGAAGTCATCAGATATTGGTTATTTCTCAGGCTTACAACATAACTCTGATTGTTCTGTTCCATACTTAATTTTATAGTTTATTCCAGACTTAAAATACAACTCTAAACTCCTCTTCAGAGTTGAGGTCCTTATGAACTAATTGTTCTACACTTCTTACTTGGTGTAGCACCCCGGTTCGAACAGGAGGAGTACGTCATGCTAATTGTTCAGGGTTACGTTTCTGAGTTATAAGTTAGAATTCTTGTGACTCAAAGTTATGCTCATATATACTTTATAGACTTAGAAGACAACTCTGAATTCCTCTTATTCAGAGTTAAGTCCAAAGTTATTTTCCAGCCTAACAATAGAACTCTGAATTCTTGTGTTTCAGGATTAATGTTCAGAGTTTTCTTTTAAACCTGAGAAAAAATCTCAACTCATTTTTCTCATTTAAAAGACCCCGTGTAATACACGGGTTCGAACTTAGTATATATATATATATATATATATATATATATATATATAGAGAGAGAGAGAGAGAGAGAGAGAGATGAGCGTTCAAATAAAAACCGGTCCCATTTGTGTAAACCAATCTCATCCATCCATTTTCTTGATCAATAGCCAAGATTAGTTTACTTTATTTTAGGAAATTAAAAAATATATATATTAAAATTTTATTTTATTTCAACAGTAAGGGCATAAATGGTAAACAAAATTTAATATTTGGTAACATCCTACTCGATATTTCATGAATCTTTTTTCATGCAAAATTATTTTCTTCCTTTCGTTCCTGGTTTGATGCATTAATTCTTTTAAGCCTTGCAATTATTTCATGACGAACCAAATACATTATGCAACCGTTTTACTAGTCATGCTCAATAACGCCATGAACCAGTTTCACTTTCATGAAACATATTTCATGTACAATAATTTTATTATTTCACCACTGATTTGATTGATTCATTTATTTAAGCCTTACAATCTTCAAGATTCTGGAGCAGGTTACAATCTTCAAGATTCTGTAGAAGATTAAAATCATTTCCTCGTTTCATCATGCACTTAGTTCATAACGCACCAAATACAAAATGCACCGGTTTCATTTTCCTCTTCACGAACTAAATGAATCAACTACACAATCAATGCAACGGATTCACCATGAAAATGTTTCGGTTCACATAATTTATTTGCAATATGAATCAGTTTCACGTTCATGAATCAGTTTCACGTTCATGAAACCTGTTTCATTTACGATTTGATGATTTCATTATACACTTCAATTGTTTCATCAAGATCCGTTTACTGATTCTTAAAGATTACAATATATGAAATTCAAAATTTTAATATTATAATATAATTAAATATTTAAATGTTACCATTTATACAAATTCCTTTATTACTTTTCCTTAATTAAGATTTATTAATAACTTCCATATTTAATAGAAAATATTGTAAATGATTGAAATACCCTTATTGATTAAATTTAATTAGAAAAAAATAGAATTTTTCCATTGGTCGAAATTGGTTTACACGGCTTCTTAGAAATGCACGGTTTTCATTTGAACGTGCCCTTATATATAGGAGCGTTCAAATAAAAACCTGTCCCATTTGTGTAAACCATGTAAACCAATCTCATCCATCCATTTTCTTGATCAATGGCCAAGATTAGTTTATTTTATTTTAGAAAATTAAAAAAAAATATATATATAT